CTTCAAAAGGCCATCTCACTGCTCTACCAATCCAACATCTTCCTCATGGAAAATAATTTGGTGGGATTAGTGGATGTCACTGCTCACATTACCATGGGCATATGCCCACTGGGACATCTGATTTGCCATTTAGTGGATTTTCTGTTTCAAGGCATTGCTATGTTGAGTCTTTGCATGGCAGTATTGGCTAAGGTACTACAGGCAGGGCAGGAAAAGCAAAGTACGTTATCAGTCCTAGTCAGGATACATTTTTACCTTTTGCAAAATAGAAAAGGGTCAGTATAACCAACTCTCCATCAAGTGGCCAGTTGTCTTCCTTGAATAGTACTGAACTGGGGATTCAGTGTTGGTCTCTGTTGCTGACAAACTGTCCATTTAGCAGTAGCAGTAGCTACATTAACCTTGGGGGAGAGTGGGATGCATGCTAAAAAAACAACAAATAGCCTCCATCTCTGCCACCATGGTGATTTTTTTCCCCCCAGTACTGGGGATCAAACTGTGCCCAGCAGGTGCAGCCACCATGGTGATTCTGTTCATAACCACACTGCAAGCACTCGGCTATCTGCTGTAGTCCTGAACAAATAATCCTGTTCATTTGGTCATGTAGTGCTTTGGTGGTCAATACCTTAGTAAGTCCCTCTCATAGATTTATCCAAACGCTTGTCAGTAAACCTTGTTACCTATTTTCCTGTGTTGTTCCTTCCGAGCCCCTGAGTTCATGTATGCTTTATCTCAGGTCACTTTTTTCCCCAAAAGGGATGATCAAGTATGTTGCCTGAAACCCTACATATTGACAGGTTTTCCTCTCATCATTTTGGGGACACTTCTGAGTGAGGCTGAGACATCCCTGCCTGGCTTGTCGATTTTCCCCCTCTTGTCAAATGGCTAAAGGAATTCTCATGTGGCCATAGGTGTCATTTAAGAAAAAAGTAACACAACAAAGGAAGATGACATAAGGATGGTCGTGGCTTGAGACCTTCTGATCAATCTGACTTGAGTCACCAAGTTTGCTTGGGCCTCTTCCTAAAATGAATTGTGTTTTATGATGGATTCCTGCTATATCCACTCACCTTGATTTGGTTGGTCTGACAACCAGCGATTGTATGTGAAACTAGTCACACGGCTTTTGTTTGGGCACAGAGTCTCTACTGGTGCCTAACAGCATGCAGAGTGGTGCATGCCTGTAATCCCAGTACTCAGAGACCTGAGGCGTGAAGATCACAAGTTCAAGGCCAGCCTGAGCTACAAGGCCAGCATGGATTATATACTAAGGCCATCTCAAAACAAAACAAATAAAACCTGACACAGGGGCTGGGGATTTAGCTTAGTGGTGCTGCCGCCTGCTTCATAAGCACAAGGTCCCCAGTTCAATCCCCAGTACCAAAAAAATACCAAAAAAACCCCCTGGAAATTTAGCTCAGTGGTTCTGCCACCTGCCTTGCAAGCATAAGGACCAGAGTTCGATCCCCGGTACCAAAAAAAAACCTGACATAGCACCACAACTGGGACTACTATTTGCTTAAGTTTCCAGTAGTCTACTGTTACCTACCATAAACCATAAAATTTTAGCAAAGGCTAGACAAGTGAAACCAAAGGAGGATATGATGGAGACCAACACTCTTGCATCCTTTAAGTTTTTAAGGATAAAACTAATCTTTGCCCTTTCCCCATATGTAGTATTATTTTTTATTCTTTGAGAGGTAGGCGTGCAGTTTCAGAGAATCTACTTGGATTTTCTGCCAAGTCCAAAACATGCTCTTTTTTTTTTTTTGGTACTGGAGATCAAACTCAGGTCCTTATGCTTGCGAGGCAGGCGTCGGAATCACTGAGCTAAATCCCCGGCCCAACATGTTCATTTTTATCTAACATCTGGAAACGGGAAATAAGCACAAAGTAGGTTTTAGACCCTTATTAGGTCAGCATTCCATTACCTCACTCCATATTTCCCTAACACAGAGTGAAGCTGGGGTGTTAGGAGAGCAAGCACTATTGTGGGGCCTTGGGTACTTGGTTATCAGTGTCAATTCCGGTTCTATATCCATTTCCCAACTCTTCTGGGTACTTTCCCTAGTGTGTGGTTAAGTAAATAAATGCCTCTCTTTCAACTGATAGTTTTGTGAGTCTAAGAATTATTGTAAGCTTAGAAACTAGACAAAGAATTGTGCCTTTTCAATTAAGTTACTGACCTTAGCCTTCTCAGCAATTTTTTTTTTGGTACTGGGAATTGAACTCAGGAACTTGTGCTTGCCAGGCAGGTGCGTGGCCACTGAGCTACATCCCTGGCCCCCTCAGCAATTCTTGATCTCTCTTATTTATAATTCTTATTGGCTGCCCAATTATCTTGCTCCTAGGACTACCCCTGTTCAGTTAGCCATGTCTACTTTGAGCTTGCCACATCTTGCTTCTAAGAGTTAAGTGTTGCCCTCTGGCATCTGCTATGTCAAGATCCTACTGCTCCTAGGAAAACTAGTTCTTGAAACATTTCCATCAGACCCAATCTAGAGACAGCCACTTCTAAAGTTCTCAAAATTGCTGGTACCCTTAAATCATTGCCTTTCCTATTGCCTTTATTAAAAAAAAAAAAAAAAACACAACTCCCAGACCCTTCTGAGGAATATGGTCAGCTGGTAGCCTTTTTTGTATGGTCTGCCATCACTTCATTTAATGAGGGCCATGTTTTTCCCCAGTTCTCCAAAGTCATCTCAACAGCAGATTATGACGACTTCATAAAGCTATGAGAGTATATTCTAGGGTTCCAGGAAAATGTCCCTATTATCTAAATTTCATACGAATACATGAAGCCACCTATACAACCACAAATTTATGATCTAACATACAGAATTTTAGACCAAAGGGGGATTTCCTATAAAGTTGAAGAGTAGCATAAAAATTTCATTAAATCTAAGCCTTATAATTTTTTGTTTTGTGCTGGGATTTGAACCCAGGGTCTTCACACTGAGCTAAATCCCCAGAGCCTTTTTTATAATTGTTTGAGAGAGAGTTATGCTAAGTCACTAAGTTGCCCAGGTTGGGTTTGAACTTGTGATCCTCCTGCCTCAGTCTCCCAGAGTGCTAGGATTACAGGTGTGTGCTACCATGCTCAATCTGTAAGTTTTTGTGGGGTTTTTTGGTATCGGGGATTGAACTCAGGACCTTGCACTTTTGACGCAGGCAGCAGAATTACTGAGCTAAATCCCTGGCCCCTGTAATAGTTATTTTTTAAACTGCTGAAAGGACAGGTTAAAAAAGTGCTAGAAGCTAAGTGTGGTGGTACACACCTGAAATCCTAGCATTCAGGAGGCTGAGGCAAGAGGATCGCCACAAGTGAGGCCAGCCTGGGCTACACAGTGAGCTCAAGGCCAGCCTGAACTACATAGTGAGACCCTCTCTCAAAAACAATAAAAAGTTCCTAGAAATGTTCTTAGTGACATATTCTTGCTACAGAACAGATTTTCTAAAGCTGACCCTCACATGAGAGAACTACAAATACACAAATGTGTCAGTTTGGCTAGGATCTATGGCAAGACTAAGGAGGGCCCCCAAAGCAATATTACTCAGAGGCAGTTTGTAGACTTGTGCTCATCTCTGAACATTTTGTTGCTTGTTTTACCAATCTGTGATATGAGGAATTAGACATTCAGAGTGTTTAGGAACTAACACTTGTGATATCCAAATACATACAGTGGACTCAATCTGCTGAACAGGGTCTGGACAACTTGGTGTTGTCATGCTTGCATGTGAACTGCACATCGGTCATGTGCAGTAGGACCACACATTGTTAACACGAAGGACTAGGTCTTTAAAAAACAAACCAAACCTGGTTCTTTTCTACATATAGTCCGAGAAGGCCTGCCCTCGGATACCAAGCTCTATCCTTCCACAAGGCCTAGAATAATTCAAAAATTATTTGTTTGTCTTGTTTTTGTGGTATTGAAGAATGAACTCCTAGGGCCTTTGCACTGAAGAAATAGTGTGTTGAGCGTAGAGAATCACCTGAAGTCAATTTGCCCATGTTCAATCCAAGTAAAAATAAGGGAGTGTCTTGGAAGCAACGGTAAATAGGGCATCTTTCAGATTCCTGGCGTAAGCCCTGGTCAGGTCACCAGAAGTGAGAGCTATGACAGAAAATGGGCATAAGGTTCAAATGGCAAGGTCCTCCTGTCCTTCCTCCCTTCTCTTATCCTTGTCATTTTGTGGCTGGAACTTTTAGGAAGAGAATTTTGGCTTCTAGGTACCATAAACACCATCACAAGTCCGACTGTGCTTTCCCATCTCTCAAAGAGTAGAGAAGTCTCACACTCAGACTTAGGCTCTTCCATGCTCTGATAAGTTATAGTACCTGGACTTTTCTTCAACCACCTGAGGCTTTAACAACATTTCCTTCCTGGGCCAGGGATTTAGCTCAGTGGTTTCGCCACCTGCTGCGCAAGCACAAGTACCCAAGTTCGAATTCCCTTGTACCAAAAAAAAAAAAGAACATTTCCTTCCTTTCTGATGCCATGGAGTATATGAGATCTTTAAGGGGTGAAAACGTTTAACCCAGAGTAAAGTGACATGTCAGGAGCTCACAGGGACTCAGATGATGAATGTTAATTTGTTCTGGCAAGAGTTATTTTCTAAGTAAATCGGACAGCCAGCTGAGGTGACCAGATATCCATCAAACATATGACAGACAAGGTCCATAGATTAACTCTGAAAGGGAAGCTCAGCTCAAAGATAATTTAGAAAACATGTTAACAGTATATTATTAACAATAATGTAAGAATTTAAAATATAGTGTCAGTTGAAGGGCTTTACAGATTAAACTACCCAAGAGGAAATGAAGATAGCTATCTAGTCTCCTTTGCCAAATGAGGTGTAGGCTGAGCTGAAGAAGGGTAGTGGAGGAGCCCAGAATGAATCTTAAGATTCACACAAACACACACACACACAAAATTCCCACATTGCAGCTTACAGAAACTGAGGAAGATTGGGAAAAGACCTGGATGAAAAACTGGCCATATTCCTCACTCATAATATTTATTAGACACTGCCTCACAGGGCCTGCAGGAAAAGGAACCCCAGCTGCTTCCCTCGCCCCTTCCCAAGCATCTTCCTGAACTAAGGATTCCCTCAGATGTCTCAAACCAAGACATACTAGGATAAGTACAGATAAGTACTATTCATTTGCCAGACCCGACACTACAATTATGTGTTTGCCAGGGAGGTGGGGAGCCAGTGAGAGCAGTGGATGGACTAGATGAGGAGAAACAAAATGGGCCCTTCTTTGTCACTACTCGAACTCAGAAGAGTTGGAATAAACAAAAAACAGAGGAGATAAGAGGACAAGCAGGGGGCAAAGGAAGGTCAGGGGCTGGGTTCATGTAGATCATACGGCATCGTAGAAAAAACCAGGATAGCCACTTGAGTTCTCAGGCTGAAATAAGGAGTTGAGGGCTCAGCACCTAGAGGGAAGAAAAACCCCAGGGCTTCTATTCTGACCCTATTGTGATTAGATGCAAAAGCCCTTTCCCTTCAGAGAATTCAAATGGTTTGTGTGAAGGCAAGAGGGCATGGTGACAGACCTACAGCCCCAGCCCAGGCTAAGTTTCTCCCCATTCCCAAAGGTCCTGCCCAAGAAAAGTACAGAAATAACCATCCCAGGATGCTGCCCCTGTTCCCCCAATCCAAGAGTAGGAGTAGAAACAAGGCACAAAGACCCTGGAATTAAAAAGTATACATCAGTGTGGCCATATATAACATTATTTTGGGAGAGGGAAGAAGGTACATGCCCCAAAAGGGATGCCTTCTTTCACCTGGCAGGCAGTTGGGCCTTTGCTAGTAGCAGAAACCACAATGGAGGGTTCATAGAAATCGCCTGCAGAACAGATCCAATTCCTAGAAAGGCAGAGGAAAAGCCTCAGTTGGTATGGCACAGTCTTGAATGGAACAACAGAGGGCGGTAGGCAGACCACTCCTGCAGGCCACTCCTGCCTCAGTTCCCAACAGTTCTGTTGACTCCAGATGTTCCCCATGGCTGGGACTCAGGGAGGAAAACATGTTCTGTTTCACATGATCAGACACTGTTCACCACTAGCACCCGGTGGGCCTGACAGATTGAGGGCATCCAGGTCAAAGTTGAGGCCAGGAGGCTGGAGAAGAGATGAAAGGACTCAGATAACTGCACATATTTCAGGTCAGAGCTTCTGAAGGTCCATCTCTAGCAGCAATAATTATCACCTTAGGTGGAATCACTGGAAGTTACAGATTTCTGGAAACTAGGAGCTCAGATTAAAATCTAGAAGACATACTTACCATCTCCCCAGCCAGCTCTTTTGGAGGATGGCCCAAATCCTGTAGCTGAAAAAGAAAGAACATGAGGTAGAAAAAAAATCTCAGAAAAAAACATAGGGGCCGGAAAAAAAAATCTGATTGGTGATCTCAGACTTCTTCTGACCATGCAACATGGCCTCTCTTGTGCTCCCTCCTCCACCCAGATGGTCTGGAGTACAGCATCCTTCCCAGCTACCTCCTCCATTTCACACCTAAGTGGACAGCATCAGTGGGAAAACAGCCAGAGGAAGCCTCACCTGCTGCATAAGATCTAGCACCATCTCAAAACGAGCCTTTTGAACAGCCTCGCTATCTGTGGGTGTCTCTGCTTCAAACTGCTCACATATTTTGCCCATGACTTTGTGCTGCTCCTGATATTTTTCAAATTGCTCTGGAGGTAGAGATTCCCGGTGACTCTGTAACCATTCCGGATACTAAGGAAAGAGACAATGGGTTGGTAAGAATTAAGTGAACAATGGTAGGGAAAGGAAATGAGAACAACCCTTAAAACGTGATAGGAAGGGGGACATGGGAGAAAGAAAAGCTAAATAATCAAGTCCATCATGAAAAGTACGTCATCTGGCTCTACAGACGTCATCTGGTCACTACAGACTGGCAAATTATTTCTGTAAAGGGCTAGGTAGTTAAGTATTTTAGGCTTTGAGGTTCTATTTGTGGCCTCTGTTACATATTCTTTGTTGTTATTGTTGCTTAATAATCCTTAAAAAAGGTAAAAACCAGTCAGCCATAGTGGTACATGCCTATAATCCCAGCGTTCTAGGAGGTGGAGGCAGGAGGATTGCAAATTTGAGCTCTGCCTGGGCAACTTAGTGAGACCCTATCTCAAACTAAGAGGAAAGAGAATAGTTCAGTGCAAAGGCCTTGGGTTCAATCTTGAGTACTGGGCGAAAAAATACAGTAAAAACCATTTTCAGCTTGAGAGTTGAACTTAGGCCATAAAAACCTTGGCCTGGTGACTTCTGGTCTGCACTGCTCATTTCACTCTTAGCCAATGTTGTCTTGTATTACTAGGATACTTCTATTCCCCTATTTTTTCTCTCCAGTAAAACTTTAAATTCTTTGATAGCAGAGACTATCATTTAAACTACTCTTAAATTGTATATAACATAAAGCCTCAGTGAATCTTTGTTGGAGAAATGAATGAAATATCAGAAATACAAGGGGTTGATCAGACAACCCAAACCTTGAGCCAGTTTACAAAAAAACTAGTGCTGAAGGATTTCCTTTTCTACCTCAGCATTCTCAGGGTGGTAGCTTTATTTTCCCAGAGACTCCCCCACCCCACACTCTTTTTTTGTACACTCAAGTTACTCTCTACAGGCTCTGAGCAAAGCAGCCCAAATGATGGTATGAGAGCAAGTATAGAAAAACAGAAATGGAAATCCACAAACCTTTTCTGTAATCTCCTTCAGTGATGGGTATAGAACATCCTTAGACAGTAGGTTTTGCATGATACTCTGCATTATGGGGAGGATGTTCCCTTCTCCATCCCCTTCATCCATGCCCAGCCCTTCCATGGCCTTGGTCAGCTCCTCATCCGACATGCCTGAGTTCTGTACAGGACAAGAGAGAGGTAAACAGTGCGTTGCCTTCCTGGGAAGCTTACAACCCTTTCAGGTAAGAAATACTTAAACATGCCTGTAACAAAAATAATGAGGCAGGGGCAGACTAAGGAAGATACCCACGAGTATCTGTCTTTTGAGAAAGCTGGTGAAGTATCTGAGAGTGGGCCCCTTATGTTCTCCAATCCCTTCCTCCTTACCTGAAGATCAGTGGCATTTTTGGCTAGTCCACTTAATGTCTCCTTTAGGCAAGTAGTGAATTCTTGCTGAGAGGTTGCATCACTACCTAGAGAAGATTAAAACAACTAGGATCATTTAGTATTTTAACAGTTTGCCTACATAGAATAACCAGGTTATCAGCTGGGATATGAAATAACTAGTAAATCACTATCACTTCAAATCTTTGATTATTGTTACTTTCATGGTCATTTCATAAATCCACATAGACTGTCAGTTTATTCTTAACAATGACACCCACAATAACTATGTCCTTTAAAATGGTCAGCTTTAGACAATCTTTCTATTGCTTTCCAACTTATCTCACCCTTTTCATTAAGCAAAATTCCTATATCTCCTCCCATTGCCTCACCCCACCCCATGTCTGCGACATCATAAGTGCTTTACTGAGAATTCTGGTGTCAGATATTTCCCTTTGTTTGGAGTCTCCTCACCCACTCTCCCAGCAGCCTCTGAGAGCTTTTGGAACTGCTCCACCAGGTGGGGCTCTTCCTCAGCCAACTCCTTCATTGCCTTCTCAAACTCTGCAGTGGCTTGGGAAGCCAGCTCACTGTCAAACAGTTCCTGGAAAAACTTCTCTTGGGAGGCAAACAGGGCATCCTGTAGGGGAGTCATGGGCAAAACAAACCTCTTACGGCACCATACTGTTCCTGGCTTCTGACAGAAGCCTGGGTAATAAGCTCTGGAAATGTAGCACTTCCCTCCTACCCATCTCCATTGGACCATTCCATCTACCTCTCCTGATCTGGATGGCAAGAAAGGCATCTGGCCATTGAGGAAAGGGTATGAGGTAGCATTATCAATTCAATACCTTAAACCTGCTCTTTTTTCAGAGAACTTCCTTGAGATTCTCTACTTAACCTCAAATCCTTATTTTACAAGGACTGAGGCCTGTAAGAGCACTCGGCAAAGTGAGGCCAAGGCACCCTCCCAACCTCCCCTCTGGCCCATAGGGGCCTGCCCCACCTCTGCTCAGAACTATGGGCCCATCCCCTCCCTCTCCCTTTAGGGGGTGATATTTATACTTTGGCAGTGTCTCCTGGCGATCTCTTCTGGGGCCCTGAAGCATCGGGGGCCGTGGTGGTAGGAGGAGGTGCTGGGGAGGGTTTGGCTTTATCGAAATCATCAAGAGCACCTTCAGAGACAAGAGACATGGTGTGTGTGTTGGGGATGGACAAGGATGCAAAGCTGGGTGGTTAATGGCCACTTAGGATTACCTACATTTTTTTGGGGGGGGGGATTACCTAAATTTTGAGATCAAAAAGAAATTCCTTAAGGCGAAACAAGTGTCCATCTAAAAGCTGGGAAGAGAGGGTTTAAAAAAGTTCGGGAGAGAGATCTCCACCTACACACTGTAATAATTCTCTAGAAATCTCACATCAATATCTAATAGGAGCAGAGGTCACAGATGTCCTCATCTCTCTGAACTCACACTAGAAACTTAAAGGGATTAATCTTTGGCAAGAAAGCACAAGATGTTCCACCCAGCTTTCCATTAATCCTGATATTACCACAAACTAAGGGGCTCCACACTACACTGCATGGCAGGGTATCACACTCTCTTATATTATCCTACAAAATAGTTTTCCCTTATCAAGCTCCTAGAGCTCTCTCTCGCCTCATTCTCGGCAGATAATCCTGTGCCAATTCAGAGCCACTTGGCACTCTTCACTGTTTCTGTTCACTTTTTTTACCTGCCCTCATGTATGTGACTGAGCAAAAGATTAAAATTTATTTATTATTTATTTTTTTGGTACCGGGGATCAGACTTGGGACCTTGCGATTGCGAAGCTGGCGGCGGAATCACTGAGCTAAATCCCCGGCCCAAAAGATTAAAATTAAAAAGAAAAGTTCACCTCTGTCCTGAAAAGCCTGTGTTGTCACCGACACTCTGCTTGTCAGGCCTAGGCAAAGGGCACTAGCCCCACTCTGGGCAGGAAACCAACAGAGGAGTGGAGGACAAGGCTAAGAAAGAAAAGAACATCCACTGGCTTTCAGGAGGATAAACTTAATTCCCCTAGATCTTTTCATCCTCGGTTTCTCCAAATAATGGAAAAGGAGTCTGCTTTTGCCACTGACATGATGAAAAAACTATAAGGGTCTCAGAAAAGAAAAAAGGCTGAGGGAAGTGTCTTTTATACTAAAGACAGGAAGAGGCAAAGAACGATGCCCTACGGGCTTCAGAATGAATGTGTAATAAGTGAGTGTCTGCTTCGCTGCCCACCGAGAGCTAAATGCTGATACTGGCGTGACGGGAGTTAGACTTTGAGAATTTACTAATTTAAAGCAAAGGGAGTTTGGAGAGAAGTCGTGAAACACCATCAGATGGTTACCATTCCTTCCCTCCTGCAGGAAAATTAAATGAGCAGCTAGAGGGCCCAAGGTGAACTCCTCAGCTCCCTTCGCGAAGGAGGGACAGGGTGACCCAAAGATTTTCTATGGAGTCGCAGGCAGACCTTTGCTCCTGGCAACTACTGGAGAGACTCTCACGCTCCTCCTCAAATATTTCAGGCTCACTTAACTCCGGAATGGGTCCTCATACCCGCCTCCTTAGGGCTTTTCCCTTCTTCGGCTCTTACTTTCCAGAAGCTCCTCCAATTCCCGGTCCGCTTCGGCCGCAACACTACAACCTTCCTCAGAAGTGGCCATCTTGCTGCCTCCGACTTGCCGTAGGAGGCCCGACTCGGGGCACCGCCTAGTGCCCCGCCCTCTAGCCCCGCTCCCCCTGCTTCCTGCAGCCAATGGAATCCTTGGCTTGTGAGGCGCCGCCATTTTTAAAGGGACAGGAAGCTGTGAGGTTTCGTGGGGTTTTGTTTTTGTTTTGCTTTTGCAAGAAACTCTTAAACTGGGCAGATTACTGTTATCTTCTGCCTGGTTTATTACTGGTCTCGAGTCTTTGCTCAGCTTCTCACATTAGTAGGAGAAGCTCTTCCATTATATGTTCCTGAGCTTTGGATAGGCTTCGTTAGGACAAACTTCCTAAAAATAACCAGAATCTATGCATTTATAACCGAGAAGGTAATTATGGTGCATGTCATTGTTTCCCTCCTCACTTCCTTCAGTATTTCACTCAGATGTCATCTGAAATGTTTACTTTGGTCTCACTAAATAAAATTACAACCCTTTCCCCCGACATTTTCTGTTTCCCTTCTCTCCTCAATCAGGTACACTGTCTGACATACTATGTACATATTTATCTTGTTCATTGTCTGCCACCCCCAGCCCCCACAAATGTAAGGACCATAAAGGTTAGGATTTCCACTCTTGTCTTCATTGCTGTAGTCCCATCACCTAGGCTAGGGCTTAAAATTTAGGCACTCAAAATTTAGTGGGCAATAATTAGCCACTCTCCCAGACCTCAATCAAGCACGCTTTGCCTAATCTAAATGAATATCTTTCATTTTCTATTTTCCATCAGAACTGTCAGGCTAAAGGACTCAAGGTCAGGAACTTAAAATTAAATATGAGACAGAAAAGGTGACTCTAGGACCTTGGACTGAGCAAAGGGAAATTTGAGTACAGTAGTAGTCAACCTGCCTTTTCTGATACAGTTTTTCACACAGAACCCAACCACCACTAGAGTGAAGATGGGGAAGGCTCAGGCAATGACAACTCTAGACATTTTCCTCCTTTGAAATTGTTCTATTGAGATCTGTTAGAATGTAACAACTGAAATAGACACATACCTATTTTATCTTCTGTTGTTTAAGATTTTGTGCTGAGTATCATGGAGAATAAGAGAGAAATCAGGGCCAGTTCCTGGTGTAACTACCTGAGTTGGGATCAGCTAGAAGTGAGATTAGAATCACACACACAAAGAAAGTATGATAGAAGATAAGAGACTTAAAAAAGGCAAGCATAAAATGCTCTAGAATTTTTTCTTAATTTTATTGGTTTCATTTTTTGGGTTTTGTTTTTTTTTTGAGATAGGGTCTCAATATGTAGTTCAGACTGGCCTTGAACTTACTATGTAGCACAGGCTGGCCTCGAAATAACAGTGATCTTCCTGCCTCAGCCTCCTGAGTGCTGGGATTACAGGCACATGCCACCACGCCTGGCTGGGTACATTTTTTATATACATAATGATCACATTCATCATGGAGAATTTGTACCCGTACATAATATATCTTGATTCTTTTTTCCCCATTCCCTTCCCCTCCTTCAACCCCTTTCCCTCTCCTTATTTACAAAAGCTGTTTCCAATTTTTCTATTCTTTTTTACCTTTTCTCTTCTTTCCCTTCCCCCTCCTCCCTCCTTTGCTCTCCTTCCCATTTGAACATTTTCTTCCTACTTTCCAATATCTATCATCCATTTTCATCCTTATTTACCCTTTTGGTTTTTCACAAGAGAAACAATGTGATATTTAAACATGTGTGTCCAATTTATTTCACTTGAAAGTATGGTCTCAAGGTGCATTCATTTATCTAGAAATGTCTCAAGTTCATCCTTCTTTATGGAAGAGTAGTTCTCCATTATATATAAAAACCATTTTTTAAATGTTAATCCATTGATGGGCATTTGGGCTGTTTCCAGGATTTAGCTGTTACAAATTGTGCTGCTATAAACGTGGATATGCATATAGAGAAATCCCATCTAAATGATAAAAATTTTTCTTTTGAGACAGGATCTCACTGTGTAACCCAGGCTGGTCTTGAACTCATGGCAATCTTTCTGCCTCAGCTTCCTGCTTCATCACTTTCACCTTTTACCTTACACATTTGAGTACTGCATCAAGCATCAGATTTGGGACAGGCTTGTAAAACCGTATCTGTAAAAACCCTATTTTCTCACAAACACAAGTCATATATTTTAGGAGAGTTTTCCGAATTGGAGGTCATAAAACCTAATCCAGGCCTGGCACAGTGGTGCATGCCTGTGATCCCAGCACTTGGGGGGCTGAGGCAGGAAGATCACAGCGAGCTGAAAGCTAGCCTGAGCTACATAATGAGTTCCAATCCAGCCTGAACTACATAGTGAGACCTTGTCTCAAAAAACAGAACAAAATAAATCCCCCCCAAATTAAGTCCTTTTTGATCTAAACTACTATAATCTAATCCTTCCCTGGGTAACCTCTCCCTCTGAAACTTTTTATTTGTTAAGTTTATTGGTACATTTTAGGTATACATTATGATCATATTCATTTTTGGGAATTTGTACCTGTATGACATATCTTGGTTCTTGTTTTTTCCCATCCTCTGCAACATTTCTAACAATTTATTCCAGACTAACTTTTTCATTCAACTCCAAACTAATTACATGTCTATCTCTAATAGAACTATGTTAAAAAATATATAAAACTTACCTATCTGCTTTGCACTAATGTGATAATACAAGCATGTTAATAAGGAAAATACTAGAAATTAAGATAGAGTCAAAGGGGCTGAAGATTTAGCTCAGTGGTTCCACTGCCTGCCTTGCAAATGCAAGGACTGGAGTTTGATCCCTGGAACCAAAAAAAAAAAAAAAAAAGACTCAAATAAAATAAATATGATTTATTATGATAAAAATAAAAAGATTCTTTCTTAAAATAAAAATAAATATGATTCTTTCTTAGCTTTTTTGAGACAGGGTCTCCATATGTAGTCCAGGCTGTTCTTGACTCATTATGTAGCTCAGGCTGGCTCTGAACTTGCAATCCTTCTGCCTTGGCCTCCTGAGTGCTGGGATTACAGGCATGTATCGTATCTGGCGTCTTTGCATTATTAAACTTGATTCTGCTTTTCTGTTTTTATGAGTGATATTTTTAATGTCAATATTTGTGTCCTTACAGCTGTCTTTATAGTGAATACTACTGCAAAAATATTTTAAAGTATGTTTTTAATATTAGTCTCTTAAGGACTTAGTGGTTCTTCACTTTTTTTTTTCTTTTTTTTGAGGCAAGGAAGGTCTCACGATGTAGCACAGGATGGCCTTGAAATCACAATGATCCTCCTGCCTCAGCCTCCTGAGTGCTGAGATTACAGGCATGTGCCACCACGCCCAGCTCCACTATTTACTGACTGATGTCATTCTTGTCTGATATTCACAATATGTATTTCACATATATTCATCATGTCTCCCCAATTATATAACTTGAGATTGTCAACTTTTTTTCAGATCTGTGTTTATGCTTGTGTGCAAATTTGGTGATTTAATTTGTAAACTTAAGGTTTTTATTTTTGGAAACATTTATCACCAACTTGCCCTATGTTTACAGAATGTTTATAATGAGAAAAATGCAATCAAAGTGGTATACAAAATTTTGAGAAGGCAGGCTTAGTTTGAGAACGATGTTTAATAGAACAGGAAACAGGGAGGTAGAACTTTCACACATAGGAAGGGGATCTAAAGATGGAGAAGGGATGGAGACAGGAAGGGGAAGTAAAAAGGATCAAGATGCAGTATGTCTATATATCAACTCCCCATAATGAATGTATTCATAATGTATGACAATCATCTATTTTAAAAAAACAAATCTTAAGCTAAAAATATAAAGGCTTGGGATGGGGATGTAGCTCAGTGAGTTTGCCTAGCATGTGTAACACCCTGGGTTTGATCCTCAGTACTAAAAAAAGTAAAATAGAATATAAAGGCCTATGCTTTTTGAAGCAGGTATTCCACTTGTAGTTTATTCTGACATACTTCTCCCACCCAGACAATATATGTTTAAGTTATTTATTGGGGACCCTGGCACAGGATCATAATCTCCTGCTCAGTGCTATGACACATAGCGAGAAGACAGAGTTAGAATTAAAGAGACAGGTAAGTGGGATGGCCAGTGCTTGAGCAAACAGCAAAGACCCTGAACAGCCAGAACTGTTGATATTTATTGGTGACACAACCATCGTGAAGTTGGGGTGCGGGGACCACATGTGGTTGCTAGGGATACATTGCTAATGTAGGCAAGGCTTGTAAAAGAACAGACAAAGCATTCTTTTGTTAGGAACAGAGCAGACAAGGTATAGGTTGTGGTTAAGAAATAACCTTATCTTTTCAGTTAAGAAGGTTTTAATTCTGGGAATAGAATTTGGGTATGAGTCACTTTGACCTTGGCTGCCATGTTATCTCATATTAAGCTCCACAGCTTCACAGGCCATTTCTCTGGTCTCTGGTGTGGCTGTTGGTGGAGAGTTTGTGCTAACCTGCACACCATCCACAGTGCTCTCATGAGTCACGTAGGCTTCGGTCAGACTCACTTCTTAAGCCAATTGTGGGGTTAACTCTTTATAGCCAGCAGTGCTTACAGCCTGCTTTGGGCATAATCAACAGGGCAGTCTGCCACAGTTTTCATTGCAATAATGTTGATAATTGCAAAAGATTGGAAGTAATTCAAATATTCACCAAGAAGTAACTTCATAGCTTATTGTACAATACATACTATGCAGAGAATTGCAAAGTTAAAATCTCTTAATGTACTGATAGAGAAAAATCTCTAAAGTATAAAAAATGAAAAAATGAGGTACAAAATGCAAAATGTTAAATAGCATGCTTCCATTTGTGTATGAAAGGGAGGTGAGGAAGAACATATCCGTATCTCCTTATATATACATGAAAATTTCTGGAAGGATAAACGGAAGCCACCAACAATGGTTGGCTCCTTTGAGAAAGGTGATAGGAGGGGCCGGTGATTTAGCTCAGTGGTTCTGCTGCCTGCCTCGCAAGTGCAGGGTCCCGAGTTCAATCCCTGGTACCAAAAAAAAAATGAGTTCCATCCCCGGTACCAAA